GTATGTATTACTATAGAGAAAGAGAGCTCAAGATTAACGAATAAATAGAGAAAATATATAAAAAAAACAACCGGTTTATCTGTTTTTTTCTAGTTTGAAAAAGAGTAACCGGTTTTTATCAAATTGCCATTTTTCGAATAACTTGATTTTCGAAAAAATCGAATAGTCGAATACTTTAATACGTATGTACTAGGGTGTTCGATTATTCGCCTTTTCCCCAAAACGGTTTTCAAGATATTCGAAAAATTGCAATTTAAAGAAAAACGGATATCGATTTTAAAATTACGAAAAAACAGATAAACCGATTCTATTTTAGATAGTTTTCATACAGAGAAAATTGCTTATGTTGTTATGAAGTCAATTAATATAAATTTTAGAAAAAAGCAAAGCAAAATAAGTTTAAAGTTTTTTTAGGACAAAATTTAAATAATTAAAAATCAGTAAAAAGTGCACGCCTGGTGTTATTTTAACTTTTTCTAATACTTGATTGCATTTTTGCTAGTTTTTTTTCGAATTTAAGTAGTGTTTTTGCCGCCGTAACCGAGTGCTTAAATGTGCCACCAGAGAGGCCCATGGTTCAATTTCTGGTTTCAGCAACATCAAGAAAAGTTTTTTCAAATAGCAGTCGCCTCTCGGCAGCCAATGGGAAATCTCCTAGTGTACTTTTGCTCTAAAAAGAGCTTCTGCGGAGATGGAGTAAAAGTGTAGATCTCTCCGTTTGTGCCGCAACATCAAGATGCAGAACACGAATTGGAGGAAAAGCTCGGCCAAACACATAGAAAACGTTTAAGCGCCAAAGATTCATTTATTGCAAATAAAGATTATATACTATTCTTCCCCACATAACCTTTAAAACTATTTAGGGATTTCCCTTAAACTAAAAAAGGCCTTGAAAACTGCGAAAAACTCAAAGCTTTAATTGAGAGGTAAAATTTTTTTGAAATCAAAACAAAACGGGTTTTTTCGATCAAAAAAATTCGATATTCGACAAATCAAGTTTAAAAAAAAAAACGCCTATAAATATCCAAAAAGAAGCAGGTAGAAACCGGTTTGGAAAAACCGAGTTATTCGTCCTAATATATAAGTACATTAGAATGTGTCAAATAAGACTATTTTTTTCTCAGCCAAATTTTAGCAAATTTTTTTTTGCTGATGGTGTTAGTCATTTTCTTCCTTACAAAGTGTGTTCGACAACTTCTTTATATGGAAAAAATCAACGAAACCGTCAAGAAAAAATTTCCCAAAGATCAACAGTAAGTCCTAGCTACTTCAAACTTTTACTTATTATACTAAAATTTTTTGGGTTACGTGGTTGTTTTTTGATTGGTTATATTTAATTGTTTATTAAAAAAGAGAGGAAACCACTTTTTCCAATAAAAATTCTTATTTTCGTTTTATTTGACACAGTCTAATTTACATACATATGTAGGGTTTATATTGAATACTCACCGGTCCTTTTATTTGTCGGAACTAACACAAAACAAAGCGGGCGGAAAACAGCACTCAGACAATATGCCGTCCATCGTACTGTTTTCACCGGTCTAACAACATCCACAAACGGCCGATAAATATATCAAAAAAAATATATATCAAAAACCAGATTCGATCTTTTTAGCCATCGCAACCCCATGCGCTAGGCAATGCCAATGACAAGGCTCCATCTAAAGCAGCGATAGGCAGAGAGAGCTTTCACTCTGCACGCGACTACACAAAATGTATAGAAAGCTCAAAAGAGCTTTGCCCGCGGGCAAGGCGGTGCCCATCGCTGATTTAAAGACACAAACTACAATTACGTACAAATTTCAGAAGAAAGGTAAGAGCTCCATCCAGCTATTTACATACGCCAGCATTTCTAAAACACTTGTCTAAATAAGAGCATTCGGCACATTTCTGGTTGGAATCTTAGATCACGATCGAGAAATGTAAAAGTTGATTTTATTTTATTTTAGTTAAATTTATAAAGCCAACGAGGCAGCATCCAAACTTCTGACATCATGAAGTCACTGCATTTACTAGTTTTAGGCCTACTTTCATTATTAAGTCACAATGCCAACGGAGATTACTACACATCCATAGCGAGTTTAGTAGATTTGTTGGATGCAGAAATGCTTTCAATTTCATACTTTGAGAAATATATGGAAGCAATGGAAGAAATCAGTCGAAATGTAAATGAGTATGTGAAATGTAAATGTTATTTCTCTCATTGAAAGCGACCAAGAAAAGTAAACGCATTTTTAATCTCCTCAAATGTAGTACACTAAAACAGCTCGAAAACATTGCGCAAGAGGCTGAAGAAGACCCAGAAGATTACTATGAGAATCCAATAAACGCTTATAAAATTATTAGCCGTTTTATAATAGATTGGCAGAATTTGAATAAAACTGTGTTCGATGAGAGACCCGCAGAAGGTGAGTGAGTGCTAAAAGTTTTGGCAAGCTACTTGTTTTAATTTTACTTACTTCCAGCTTTTCGGCTCAATATCACTAGCCTTGCTAGAGATGGGTATTCTGCGCCAACTAGCGACGATTTGCTGGGCGCAAGCAAAGCTTTAGCGCGACTGCAACGCACCTACCGACAAGAGACCGCCGATGTGGCTGCGGGTGACCTAATGGGTTTGCATTATTCTGAAAATTTTACAACTAATGAATGCTACTGGTTAGGCCGCACCTTATTTGCGGCGGGCGAGTACAAATATGCAGCTGAGTGGCTTATACAGGCGCAAGTGAGTTTGGGGCCGGAGCCAAATGTGCATATACTTGAATTCTTGGCGCCTTCGATGTTTTATTTAGGTAGGTGAATTATTGAATGGCGGTGAAAACCGTAATTTATTTGTGTGTGTGCTTTCTTTGCATTTTCAGGAAACACCAATATAGCTATGTACCTCAACGAGGAACTCTTAGCAAAAGATCCTACTAATAATTTCGGATTGCAAAACAAGCTACTGTACGCGGAGAAAGCGCAAAAAGCTCGACATTTGAACTCACTCGAGAACTCGGCCAGTACAAGTTTACAAGTAAATACTTGCACAAACCTATGTATAGACAATTGAAGTATCCAACTCTCTGATTTCAGCGATCCGAAGCCGACAACCTATTCGATGCCGTATGCAATGGTGATTTGCAGCAAACCCCACGCCAAAAACGCAATCTTCGTTGTCGCTTTGTGCATAACAATGTACCATTTCGCTTCATAGCACCTTTCAAGAAGGAAGAGCTAAATCATGATCCACCAGTTGCTCAGTTTCATGAAATCATTTACGATAGTGAAATCGAGAATATACTCATGGTAACCGAAGACCGTTTGGAACGTTCAAAAATTGGAAAATTACATAATGCAGGTTACTCTGAAGGGCGGACAAGTCAAAACTCTTGGCTTTACTTTGCTAAGTATAATTTCCTCAACGCTTTTTGGCAACGTATGGAGGATATAACAGGTTTACTTTTGGAAACCGCCGAACCAATGCAGGTGGCTAACTATGGTATTGGCGGACATTTTAGCCCTCACTGCGATTTCAAAGATTATGTAAATTATTGTTTTTCTTTTTGAGTATATAGGTGCATACATAGATACTTTTCCTTTTTCTTATTAGGATGTTGAAAATGATATTTACAAGCGAGGAAATCGCCTCTTGACTGCGTTAACATATGTAAGTATGAAGTTGTTCTTTACTATGTTACCAAATAAAAATATGTGCACTTTTTGTGTTTTTTTTTTAGATCAATGACGTGGAACTCGGTGGCGGTACCGCATTTCCATATCTGAATTTAACTGTGTCCCCTATAAAACATAGTATGCTTATTTGGTATAATTTGCATGATTCGCTTGAACCAGACTATCGCACAAAACATGGCGGCTGCCCAGTATTAGTGGGCTCAAAGTGGGGTAAGTAGAAATATTTTTTATTTAGGGTGGTCCTTAACCCTCAACCACTGCGTCGATACTACTATAGTCGAGATATCAAATATAAATTTTGGTCCCGATTGGAGACCGTTAAGGCGAGTCGCACAGGAGGCCAAGCTCAGATTCTTCTATTGAGAATAAAAAAATTAAAATGAATTTTTTTTATTTTATAAACAAAATCGATACTACCATAGTCAAAGATATCACATATAAATTTTGGTCTTGACTGAAGTCGGTTAAGGCGTGTGGCACAGGGTTCAAAGCACAGATTAGCCTATGAAGGCGTCTTAACCGACTCCAATCGGGACTTAAATTTTTATGTGATATCCTCGACATTAGTAGTATCGATTTTGCCCCCTGGGTCGACAGGTTTTAACCGTCTCCAATCGGGGCCAAAATGTATATGTAATATCTGTGACGCTGGTATTATCGATTGAGGAGTTGAAACTGAAAAAATCGTTAATTTGATTTTTTTACGGGCCACCCTAATGTGCATACTATTTTGTGGGACTATTTCGAGGTAGTTCGAAACTAGTCACGAAAAGATCTTTAAATATCCTTGAACCATTCATCAATGTTTAATTTCTAACCTAAGTTTCGTGCTATCGCGCAATCCTGCAAGACTTAGAAATTCCTTTAATTTGTTATAAATTGAGAGTGCACCTGCATAAGTACATACTTAATTATAGTAAAAACTTGTTTGCTGATACTATGAGTATTTATTCAGTACTAAAATAATTTGTTTTTATATTTCTAGTTCTTACCGAATGGTTCCATGAAGCTCATCAAGAATTCAATAAACCTTGCGGTTTAGAAATGGATGGCTACAAATCGTTAAAGTATATGGATTCAGACTGCAATGTACACTAATCATTTTAAAATACATAAATGAGTGTTATTATGATATAAATAGTATTTATAATACGCATTTCTCCACTTTTTTTATACGAATGTAACAAAAAATAATGCTGAAATAAAAAATTAAATCATTTATATTGTAAAAGTTCATGAAATACCAAACACCCATTACAAAAGTTTATAGAAATAAAAAAAATTGTCCGATCTGCGATACTTTTTATGACTTCCAATGAGAAATCAGAGTAATAGAAAGAAAGTAAAAGAGTCTTTCGGCCTTAGCGAAACTTCGGATTTTTGAGATTTGAAAAAGCGCACTCACTTATTTTTAATTTTCTTTATATAGTCGGTCAATCCTAGATTCCTTTTTTCATAAGCAAATCCTTTTAAATTGTCCATCATTTCCAAAAAAATTATTTTGGTACAAACATAAACATTTGGAAAATTCTCCTTCAAAACTAACTAATTCCATATGGTAATTTTCAAATGTGGTTAAGTCCAGGGCAAAAACTGCTTTATTTTTTAAATAAGCTTAAGCTTACTTGGACGATTTCCATTTTTTATTTTTTTTCAATGTTTAATTTACATGCATATGAGGCCTTGACAGCCGGAGTATCTTAACTGAAGATTCCAAAAAACTTAAAATTTAAAAAAATTTTCATTTTACTCAACAACACCTTTATGTATATGGGCTCCTCTCGTTTTCATGACCTCATATGTACATACATACATATATGTATATGTTCGTTTTATTCTGTCTATATAATTATTACAGAAATTTTACCTTTATTTAACAAATCTTATCCGTTCGCTCGGGTAACACCTATGTATGTATGTATAGTGATTTTCACAATAAAGTATACGGACCAGCTTATTTACAGTATTTCCATTATGTTAAGTTTGAAAACCCCTCATATTTACATATGTACATACGTATATAGATGTGTTGGCGTACATACAAAGGTATGTGTGTATGTACATACATATTTTCCCGTATATAATTTCAACTACAAATTTAATTCAATATACTTGTCACCTGAGATATTCTTTCCCAAAGAAGAATTTCAAATGCACTACAAATGTACTTAAATATTAATGTGCATACATATATACATATGTTGTGTATATTTATCCAAGAACGATATAAAATGACTGGTTTGAAAGTATCTGTTGAAATGTACCGAAAAAACGTATTACTAATCACGTAGAAAACAGGAAGACAAAAATGTATAGAGATACCAGAGAGTAAACAAGAAAATTCAGTTAGTGCCATAGCGAAACCGTTGGATCTACATTTATGAAAGATGTACGTATGTACACTTGTGATCAGCTAATTAAGCCAGCTATATTTTGATAAATTTTGGCTATTTTTCTTTTGTTTATTTAATGTATATTATTTTTCCATAAAAGTCTAGCTCATTATATAACAAACACTTTATGCAAAAATTATGAAAAATCTGCAAAGCTTATTCACATTTTCTAGAGTATGCAGTTTAATAGCCCATTTGATTTGATTGATTGATTTTTAATAATTTTTTTTCTGACTTCATGACGAATTTTTTTCATACAAAAAAAATTGTCGAATTTATTTTGTATGGAAAAAAATTTGTAATGCAGTCAAAAAAAAAATAATGGAAAAATAATAAACTAAAATAAAAATTATAAACGAAAGCAAAATAGCCAAAATTTGTCAAAATGTTGTTGGCTTAATTAGCTGATCACAAGTGTATGTACGTAAGTAAGCATGTACATAAAAGTAATTGACAAATGGTAGCTGCATGCGTACGTATCAGGGATGTTACGAATATTTTATATTTCACATTCGCAAATTCGACTATTCGGAATTACTTTAAAAAAGCTATAACCACTAACTTAAGTCATTGTTTTTATTATTTACAAATTTCATAAATTACGCCTATATAATGCTTTAATTTAATAATCTAATAGTCAACGCTCAAAAGAAGCGGGCTGTACTGAACAATTGCTCACTCTGTGTACTGACGGGTGCAGCGCTCAATTATTTGCTAACTTGATCCATCAATTTCCACTATTTAAGTTTAGTTTTCCGTCAATCGAGAGTATTTTCATCGAGAATGGCTCGTTTCTCTTTAAGATATCGCTTTCACTCGAGGAATATAAAATTCCGTCTAGGTTGCTTATACGACTTTTAGCAGAACTTGTTCAACACTCGTTATTCACAAAACATTCGCATTATTTGATGCAAAAGCAAATGTCGATGTGAATGTTTAAAATAAAATGATACGAATCGTTCGCATAAGCGAATCCGAATGCAAATATTCCTAACATTCCTATCACGTATGTTTGTACATACAGTGAGTCAAACAAATGATCACGTATTGATGTATTTTAAATAGTCGTAATGATTTCGAGCTACATTTTTTGCACTTTTTTTCCATATAAGCATGAATTTCTTATGATATAAAACTCGGGAGACCGAAAGCAACAAAATTTCAGAAACCCAACACCCGTTTTTGTAAATTACACTTGTAATATTAAAAAAAAAAAAACGAAAAGTAGTCTCCAAAAAAAATTTTCAAAAATCAACCAGATTTTTCAGCTGGTTGAAACTTGCAACTGGAATTGTATGGGCTATAAAACTGCATACCCAAAAATGTTTTAAACATTCAGATTAAAAAGTTAAAAAAAGATTCTGATGAAAATTTGTTGAATTTTCCTAAATTTTGTATAAGGTATGTTTTTGGGTAAATCTTTGACGGTGTTTTTATAGAATATTAAAAAAAAAAATCAGCACGTGGTCATTTGTTTCAGTCACTGTATGTACAGTAGGGCTTATAACATTAGCACGCACATTTCATAGTGACATTGTTTGCCACTTATGTTAATTTCTTAATTTTTAAGAATTTCCAATTAAAATACAATTCATCCTCTAGCAAAAACACATATAAAATTTAAAACTTCTCGGAAGTGTTAGATTTTCTTATGTAATAATGTGCAAGTTTCAAGTGGCAAAAATTAGCGTTGATTTTTTTCTTTTTTTGCCATGATAGAGAAACAAACTTTTGACTTCATTTAAGAAAGTTGAAATCTGTCCAATTAATGACCACTGTTTTGACCCAACATCCAGATTTTCAGCTTTTTTGATCATTACTTAAGATTTTGGAGATGTATTTGAAATTCTGCTAATGTCAAAATTGTTTTGTAGACCCCTTCTACCGCCTCTACCACAGGACAAAAAAA